GAGAGGCCAGCCGGGGGGGGGGGGGGGGATGGGCGAGGTGCGCCAGGCACACGCCCTCACGCCACGACGCGACCCACCGGCGGCGGCGGTCGCTGCGCGCCGCGGTGCTCGTGCACCTCCTCCGCCAGGAAGGGCGTGATCGGGCCTGCAGGAGGGCGGAAGAGAGGCGTCGGAGGGGAGGGCTCCCTGCCTCGCCCGCCGCGGCCGGGAAGGGGGCGGGTGGTGCGGCACCGATCGAGAGGAGCAGCGCGTCCAGCGCGGCGTGCAGCACCTGCCTCGCAGGCGGAGGCGGTGAGCAGGTGCGGGGAGGAGGAGCGGGCTCGCAGCGGCAGCAAAGGCGTCGAGCGGGGCTCGCGGCACCGTCTGCACTGCCCGGCGCGAGTCGCCGTCCGCGTCGCCGCAGTACAGCCGGTCCTGCTCGGAAGGGGGGTGGGGGGGGTGAGCTCGTGAGGGACCACACGGCGTCGCCCCAGCGGAGGCTCTGGTCAAGACAAAGTGATCCGCCGAGATCTGGGGAGATCTGGGGAGATCTGGGGAGATCTGGGGAGATATGGGGCGATCCTTGGTCGAGTCAAAGTACTCGGCCGAGAGGCGCTCCTATCAGTATCAACATCAATCACAGACAACCAACGAGCAGTCAGTGCATGAGTCGCTGCCCTCATCCTAGCAGCAGTGATGGCAACAGCAAATGACGCGCGAGCAAAGGACCGAGTCGCAGCTCTCGTCCCAGAGGCGCTCGGTCGCGAGTGCGAGGGAGAGATGGGGAGATATTGGGGAGATATTGGGAGATTTGGGGAGAGATTGGGAGATATGGCGCTCCGTCGCGAGTGCGAAGGAGATATGGGGAGATTTGGGGAGATATTGGGAGATTTGGCGCTCCGTCGCGAGTGCGAGGGTCGAGCCAACCACCCGGTGCAGCTGGCGGGTGGAGTAGCTCTCGCGCACCTGAGGAGGGCGACGCGTGGGGCCGTCAGGAGGAGGAGGGGGAGTGCGGCGGGGCGGGGGAGGCGGATCTCGCGCACGCGGGAGGAGTGCTCGGCGAGCAAGTGGAGCATGTGCCGGTCGGCGAGCCTGAC